AAAATATATATATATATATTATTGTTTTTGTTTCTGACATGTTCAATAAATTGACTAAAAAAAGAAAAAAGAAATACATATTTTAATCTTTTTGAGGCTAGTATTTGGCAGGAAATGCAGACGTATTCACCTGTAAACGCATACTGAACGACATACATGCACATTTACCTCACTGTATACAAAAGTAACTGTTGATAATAATAATAAACAGGAATTATATTTCCAAAAAAATGTTGTTCACTCCTGTCGGTTGGGGGAGGGCCTCATCTCACAATGTCACTTGGGGCCCCAAGTTGGCCTGGGTTCACATCCTTTTGTATCTCTTGTGTATGTATGAGAGCTGCTCTCCATCTGCTTGCCCAACAGGAGTATCACAGCCCTTTCTGTCCGGAACACTCACATCAGGACAGTGTCAAAAGTTGTCATTTTTATGGACGACAAAAATATTAGTTATCTGTGAAATGATTCTTTCTGTTTATTTTTCTAAGTAAATAAAATTAGGTATGGGTCCTTGGTATATGTGTTTTTATCCCTACTTAATTATTGTTATATAGATATATATATTTGTCAAAAGAAGTGTACAACGGTCTGCTAAAATATCTTGCCGGTTGCAGTTTACAAGTCAGGGGAGACTGTTTTGTTCAAGCTAAAAAAAAAAGATTGTGTCTACACCTTTAATGCAATAATCTCAACGTTATACACGTAGGAATACTAAACCGGGGACTCGATTTATTATGGCCTTTACTGCACAGTATAGTCACCTCTGGGGAAAATAATGTGCATTATTCACTCACACTTACGTACATTTCTCATTCACTGTAACTGAAGGCAAGCATTATCAGAATCAGAATAGTTTGTTTATCCCTGGAAAAATGTGGTTTCATGTTTCATGTTCATCTTGGCTGCTTCAGTTAAAACTACAATAAATGAAAGATAAATAAATAAAAAACAGAATCAAAATATTGATTTGAACATAAACCGTGAAAGTAAAAGTAAAATAAAAGATCAAATAAAACATAAACACAAGTTACGGTAAAAATGTGCACATTGCAATAGGATTTATAACATGTATATTACAATGTGGTGTATTAGTGCTAATAAGATATTATTCCTGACTGATGGTGAAGTAAGTGATGATGATGCTCTTTGCAATAAATACATTATCTATCATTAATAAAAGGTAGAAAATATATCAACAATAAATACAAGAACAAGGCCACATTTGAGTTTGTCCTTTCTTTATTTCATTATGACAGTTTAACAAGCATAAACCTTTACATAATTGTTGGATATGTATAAAAGAGTATATGGGACCTTTTTCCATAAATCAACAGAAGACCAGGAACTCATGGTTGGACATGAACACATTTAGAAGAATCCTCTTTCTTATTCATCATTATGCAGCTCAAACACACAGTTCTGCATAAATGAAAGCTTTATTTTCATTCTATACTTTAATGTTCCTGCAAAGGATTTAGTGTTTCACATAGTGTTTCAAAAACTCACCTTGGCTGTATAATCAGTATGTCAGACATGTACCTAAAAGTGTAGACAATTATATCTAATTGGAAAAGCCCAGTCTTGATATATTTTATTTTACACTAGCTGGTTCTGGGGGGAAATTAGAAGTGTGCATTATGCTTATGAGACACATCTTGGTTTGTGTATATTGCGACAGTTAGAATAAAGGGTGACTTTGTAATAGAGACACAAACACAGAGAGCTTTAATGGAGCTTTACTGTATGCTTCCTAACATACAGCCATACTATGTAGGGGGAATAAACACTCCTGAATGGGTTTAAGAATCTGTACAGGATTGGATTGGGTTAGGAAAAAACGTTCAAAATCCTAAAGAAGAATAGTTAATATTCTAAGTTTCTTATGATCACATTGGATCACGTTGGACAAGCTGACGAATCATACGGCATAGTTGGCAACTTGATTCCAGCCAAGTTGCATTCAATGTCAAAGCATTTAACTTAAAGGGGAGCTAGCATGCAAAATGCACTTTTGTACGTCTTTTATACATGAATATGTGTCCCCGGTGTGTCAGGGAACTCACCAAGTGTCAGAAAACACAACCCTCTCTCTTCCTCCGTACCCAAATCTCTAACGGATCTGATCCAGACACAGATCTAAAATATCTCTGACGTCAGAAACGAGGAGCTCCGCCTATATGGGCAACTCTCCACCTATCAGGGGAATGAGAGGTTGCGTGGCATGCTAACAGCATGGTTACAGCATGGTTACAGCATGGTAACATGACACTTGTCCTTTGCAGAGGGGCGTGGTCAGCTGCAGCTCATTTTCCACAGAATCAGCCCCTGTGAAAACAGGGCTGGAATAGAGCAAATAGAGCGAAATGAGGCATGGCTAAAATGCATGATCTGTTTGGTATTTTGAAAAAAAACTTCACAGACATGTTTTATAGAGGTATGGCCCTACAATATATTATTCAAATATAGCATGATAGATCCACTTTAACCAAAATCTCAGTGAAGCACCTAGACTGCAAGAGGGGACATGGTGAGGGGAATCCTTTTTCTATGGAAATATATATAAAGAAACAACATTATTTAGTCCAGAAGAGGCCAATCAGCTGTAAGAAAAGTGATGATGATTAGTAGAGTAGAATAACGTGGAACAGATCATGCTTAAAGTGGCAGAGTACAGTAAAGAACACTTAGGAAGAGCAACAACCGGAACAGACAGACATGCTGTGTACAGATGAACTAACCATGCTGACATCTTATGAAGAAGATCCAGGAGGATATCCAGCAGGTCCCAGGTGTCTCCAAACAGATTCAACACCCTCCTCTCACCAATACACCCAGGAGGAAACTCATTCAAACAAAGGGAACAGAGAGACAAAGGTCCTATAATCTCGACTACACCACAGTCAGTCAGGCAGAGTGGAAGAAATCCTCTCCTCTACTTAAAGACAAGCTAAAACACTTTGGTCTTCAAATACTCCATTCAATGTCAAAGTCCTGAATTCAAAATGGCACCTAAGTAGAAGTAAAGACGTTTTATCAGCCACATGTAAGTCAATTAAAAGTAAAAGTGCTCATTATGCACAGTGTCTCCTTTCAAATTATAATAAGGATAATGAAATATTATATTATTGTGTTTTTAATTGGTTAAAAATACAAGAAAGTGGATGGCGTATATCTGCTTATAATAATCAAACCACTATCAATCTCCATTAAATGAATAAGGCCGTATCTGCGAGTATCTCAGGAAACAAAGATCAGAATACCACTGATCTGGACTAGGTGTTCACAGAGAGGCATACAATAAAGCAAGATTATATCAATACATGTCCATCTTTACAACACTACAACTAAACACTCACACATTAGAGCGGAATAGGAATTATAATCCAAAAGGTATGTTTTCTGTCATTATTAAAGTTTACGGGGTCAATCAACAAAAATGTAATTTATACTAAAGATTATGTTATGATAAAGTTGGTTATTTGACTTCTTACTTAACTCTCTGCTGTCAGCAGCTCCTAACAGCTAACCAGTGCAGCTAAAGACAAAGACATACAATGAGCCTGGTGGGTGAAAAGTGGGGAAGGACAAAAAACATGAAATTAACACTGACATGAGAAGGGAGGCGTCACTGTCAGGAAACATTCTTTAGTACGCCTTCATTTATTTGCACAAAATACTTTTTTGCATGGAACGCAAAAATGTCAAGTTTATTAATCCACTACCTCTGTAAGGACCAAAGTAAGGAGACCATAGTTACATCATATTTCAAACAATATTATTGTCTTACATGTATCTGCATTAATTTTCCATAATATGTGTATGTGCATCATTTTATGGTTGTGTCTATGTGCATGCATACTGTAGATGGAGTATTTATAAGTTTGTATTTGTATCTGTTCATTTATCTGTATGCGTGTGTGTGTGATCAGATTCACCTATTCATTAAATGTTTTCAGATCAGTTTGTGTTTTTTGTGCCAGCCTGCTTTTTTCTTCTTCTTGTGAAACATGGACAAAGCCGGGTGAAATTATCGCCAGTCCTTTTAAGATTCTGGATTATGTTTTTAAAACTACAAGTTTTATTTTCTTCTGCACTATCCTCCTTTTAATACACTTTTATTGTCGTACCATTAATCAATCTTTTGATATGTCTATTCTAAGCCGTTTTTTTTGCCTTACTGGTTATTGTATTAAATGTGATGTCGATTTTCTGTGAGTATTTTAAGATGTCTACTGTGAAGCACTTTGGACTGAGATTCTTGTATGAAAGGTGCTATACAAATAAAACGTATTATTATTCATATCATTATGTCGAAATTCCATGCAGTTATTTGTTTCAGGTTATTCATTTCACAGCAGGAATCTTAACTTTTCTTAGACCTTTTTGATATGATCTCACTTTTCATACAGCAATTGGTGAGAAAGTTTGCTGGAGAAAATGCTTTAAAAAAAAAAATACATTTGGAAAGGCTGTGATATTATAGTTTCAGAAATACTGTGCTGACAGAAAAACCCTTGCCTCCTGGAAAAACACTTGTTAATATTAAACAGACTCCCATCCTTTATTAACAACAAAGACAGGTCTCTCATTGCCTCCACAGTCAGGACTCACTGTGAGGAACATAAAAGCACACTTTGGAAGTCTCTCAACCCAGGCAGCAATTACATCTGCCACCTTAATGTAGTTTTAAAGATATATAAGCGTAAGATATCATAAATACAGCACTACCCTACAGCATTTGACTTTCTATAATGCTATGTGAAGGACTCTGCTATCCTGTAAACTGTCTTCTTCTTTTGCTATCAAATCAAAATCAAATCAAGTTTTATGTATAAAGCACATTTAAAAAAGCGATTTTTGGTCGAGCCAAAGTGCTGTACATGTAATAAAAACACATTACTACAAATCACAATAAAAGACAATCTTTCTAGCCAATGCACTGCAAACCCATGAAGCATTCATCTGATCTCTTGATTGCAATAGCATTTGACTCATTCAAATGATGTGGTAAACACATTTCTTTATTTCAAAATGTCAAAAACAGGAGACAGACTTGTGTGTGTGATCTTGTATTTCAGATAAAAATACAGACAAGTAGGAAAGTGAAACACAACTGTAAAATACACACATCACATTTCCATCACGGTACACGGTAACTATGGTATTAATACAATCCTTCAAAACGCTGACTTGAAACATCAAACCAGGATGTGGGGGTTACCTGAAAGCTTACTGTACAGCAACATATTCATTCTCATTGTCAAATCTGTAGGAAGCAACAAAGCAAAAATAAGCATGCTGACATTTTGGACGATTTACAGCCAAAGAAGATTTTCGAAATGTCACCTGTGCGTCTAGGTAGAGATGAGTCTCCGATGTGTTTGGAAGTCGCAGAGCGAGGGAACTTACTCCTCGAATAACTCAAAACTTCAGGCGAGAACCCTCTCAACCAGAGACTCACAAAGATAACATTTATATGAATCTTTATCTAAGGGAAGTGCACTTCCTAACACCATGAAAACTCCTTCCTCTGCGGATCACACCTATACAAAATAACCAGTGGTTCTCAGTGTAGGTTCAAGCATAACTCAACACTTAGGAACTTCTCATTCCTTTTTTCTTCGTTCCTTCCTTCTTCTCTTCTTTTCTTTTTAGGGGATCTGTCTTTCTGTGTTTTACCTTTGTCATTATCATTACTTGTCGCTGCTTTCATATTTTACTAGGCTTTTCTTTTCTCCGCTGCTGTTGGATTGATTTCCCTTGCCGTCAGTGTCTTCCACTTTGATTTTGTTAAGACTCCCGATGTTCTGCTCCTTGTTCACCTCCTTTTTGGCCCTCCCTTTAGGAGGAGGGGTCTGTCCACGAGACACCGTGATGAGGAGCCTCTCCTTCCTCATCTCCTGTTTCAAGGACATGTTTCCCATGGCGTCCCCGTGGCTCCCGCCCTCGTTGTGGTTTTTGCTTCTGTGATCCCTGTCGTCCCTCCAGTCTCGCTGGGGGTCTTGCTGGTGGTCTTGCTGGTGGTCTCTGTGACTCCTGTGCTCTGCTGACTCTCTGTATTCAGAGCCCCTGTGGTCCCTCCTTTCTGAGGGTTGTGGATGAGCAGAGCAGCTGCTCAAATGGTGCGAGGGTCCCTTGCTGTCTTCAGCATTCCTGTCCATCCGCGCTTTATGCTAAAACACATAAATAAAATGATTTTCCAGCAAAAATGTTATGGTGAGTGTACATTTCAATATACAAGCTATGGGCATTATTTAAATGAATTTGGGCATAACTTAAAGATTGGGAAAAGGTAACAGGGTTCAGGTTATTTATTTGTTATTCTAAACCAGTAAGAAGATTTGGTTTGGCACATGAAAACACATTTTAAAAACAACACAGACAAACAAATCTCTAAAAAAAGGACCCCCCTGCCGGCCGACACATCTAAAAAGATTTAAAAAACACTAGTACAAAACATGAGCAATCAAGAAAGTTAATAAATAAATACATGAATATGCATTGCATTTAATCATTTCTGCCAGTTAAGATTTAGTCCCAAAAAAACAAGCAAATTTATGAGCATACAGTCTTCAGTGTTTAAATACAAATATTTAGTTTGGATGAATAAGTTACATAAGATTCTTTTGAATACAACACAAAGTGGACATTCTGGCCTTACGACTCACTATAAATTGACTAAAGACAGTAAAGATCAAAGAGTTTTAAAGCGGGCCTTCTTCCTTGTTTTCAGTCTTTTAATGGATTTGTTGACAAGCACACAGAGATGAACAGGAGTTATACTTACACTGCCCGAGTTCCCATGGCGGTGGATGGCTGCATGGGTTTTCAGCACTACTCAAAATCCCCAATGAACTACCTCACATTCTGACAGTAAACCCAATCACTGGTGACAGAAAACTCATCCTGTAAGAGAGAAGACGACAGTGAAGTATGTAGAGTATTTACGCTAAAGGATACATTCATCACAGGAGACCTGCCTTACCATCCTGTTTCAACAATCCTTCCAGCTCATTCATCAAGGATTCCATTTTTTTCATCGGGCAGTTTGTCATTCTTTCCCTTCCTCATTGTCACGTGCCTACAAAACACATGCACAATTCCAAAATAATCCAGGGGTTTTGTGATTCTATAAATGCATCCATTGTTATCACTGTCAGTAGCACAGCTTGAAAATCAATACCTTGTGATTATCAGAGGAGGTCTGCGATGTACCAACTTGCCATCATTTTGTTCACTGCTATCTCCTTTGTTGCTTAAAGAAAGAAGAAGAACAATATAATCCTCTTAATCACAATCGTAAGCATTAGACAATAAAGTCAGAGAAGATAAATCATTGATCCAGCGGACTTCAGTTGATACACCTCTTATTTCATCTTATCCTTGGCAACCTGTAGAGAAACAGATCAGAAATCAATTGTGATTCCAAATGAGACATTAGAAAAGTATTGCGGTATACAGCATTACATTTCTGTCGTAAATCAGAGCCGTATATATGAGCTGAAACATCTCAAGAGAGAGATATGGCATTAAGCACCGAAGCTGAGAGAATGAGTCCGCCTGTACTTATTAAGGTAAATAATAACATGTATGCGCCGTACTCTGAAACCTAGACAACTATATGTCGCTCACCTTGTTAATGGCAGCAGCACCACACTCTTTCCGCTCTTACCTTTCACAATAAAAAGCTGCATCACTTCCTACCATTTCGCCCAAGGCCAATCAACAAATAGTTCGCAGTTTAGATTGCACTTATTTATGTGAGGATTTAACCAGTTGTTAGCAAACATGGTTATAGTTATTGTTGAAATGTGATTGGTAGTTTGCTGCCCTGATAACTTGTTTAAGTCACTTGTCTGCCCTGTCCATGGGAACTGAGAACTGTGTTTCCAAGTGGTATTTTTTAACAAACCTTTTTTCCTTTGGACCTACTACTAAAGACAATACACTGCATTTTGTCTTACACAGTTACTTCTGCTGTTCCACCGTACTGGGGAAAGTAACTACAAATAATTAACATTGATACTCTGGTTACTGGGGATAGCTACCGATAGTCACTGGGAAAAACGAAAGCTTCCTGTTTTGGTTACACAATTGTTAACGCACATCCTTTTTGGTTTAATTCAAATGGGGAGATCTCATTGGTGGCAAACAGAATTACAGAGTAAAGGGTGAAGCTTATAAGGAATACATCTAAACGCTGATGGTGTTGTTATTTTAACAGCCATTACATTTGGCAATCAACATTTATTCAAAATGATAATTTAAAGCAAACAATTGTTGCCACTTTAACTCAATGAACAAGCTGATTGAAGAGGTGATGGCAATGATCAGTTAAATCAATCCGTGGTTAACACAGTATTCTTACCTTTGATCAGTGACTGTAGGGACTGCAGAGCTTGCCGTACATTAGGGTTACCCAGCTCGGGCAGGGCTAAGGCTGCTTGCTGTCCGCTCTGAACTGGAAGGTGCAGGAGACCGCTGCTTCTCCACCTTTTGACCCTGCATCTTCCCCATGATCTTGCCGACGTCTACTGTGTCCAGACTTTTTAATATGTTCTTGATCTTCTCACACTCACTGCTGTCCAGACTGGCAGAGGCTACGCTCGAGGAAGTCCTTGAAGGGTTTGCTTGAGATCAAGCATATCCCCAAAGCTACTGAAAATGGGTTTGTTCTGTTGACTGCCTGAACTATCCATTCCCTGTGGTTTGTATGCTGCAAAAAGTGTGGTGGAGGATTTATTGGTTTGTTTTTCTCCAGTGGTCTTCATTACCGTACAAGAACGACTCTTCGTCTTCAAGCTCCTCAGCATTCACGACTGCGGATTCCTGCTGACTCTCCGCCTGCAGCCAAGAGAAGTCGCTCCCTACTCTGTCATGAGGAAGTAGCATACTGTCATTTTCCAATGATGATGAATTATCATTGCTCTCATGTTGCTGATGTCTGAGCTCTTCATGAACACGCTCCACTTTTTCTGCTTCCATCTGAACCCTGCACAAATAAAATTATAACAAGGACATACAATTAGCAGATAGCAAGCTTCTTCCCTTGTTATCTTGTTTGGCTATTAATTCAATGTTTTAGGAAAAAAACGACGTACATGTCTATGTTTGCAAATGTTTTATACCAGGAGCTATATCCATGGAGGTGGATGTCCACTGTGCAGAATGTGGTATGAACAGTGTTGGCAGTAACACACTGGACCTTGCAGGCTTGGTAGTTCAGTCGATAGGTCTTAGACTTAGCTTGGTAGGTTCAAGTCCAGCACGGATTAAAGCCTCAAACCCATAACTATTTGGAGTGTCTTCCATGTGGCAGCCCATCCACCCTGACATCTCCTAACAACAATACTGAGAGCTGCCACCATACCATAACTAAAAGTAAATCCCAGATGTTAATGGTTATGATTTGGTCTGTATCTTTTTGAAATGGAGAGAAGTTAGAATAATTAGCAACACAATAAAACCACCACTGGCCTAATTCTATTTTTCAAGTTGATATATAAGCCATAGTTTTGATATGAAGCTAAACAAAATGTATAACATGAACCAACACAAGAATATAGCCAGGATTCTATTGACTAGCTCCCCATCGTGTCACCAGCACCCACTGTATTTTAAAACGTGTGTAAAAGACAAGAGCATTCCCAACTTTTTGGTGGTTAGTATCATATTCATGTTTCAAGGACTGCGTTTTTCATGCCACAATGGATATAATGGGGTAATCGGGTTCTGCTTTTCTTCGTGACGTTTTTAAATAAATGTTGTACTTTTTTTACACTACTGTGACCTACAGCAGTTGACAAGAGGCACATTCACACCGCAGTACTTTTTCCCTACAAAGGTTCATGAGAACTTAGTTCATGAGAACTCTTAGTTCTCATGAACTAAGTACAGATCGCAGTTCACACCGGAATAAGTCCCTGGGGGAGGATTAGGCAAATGAAGCCGCTGACGTCACTTCTTCTTCTGTTTTGGGTTTACTGGCAGGCCCGCAAACCACTTCACGGCGTATCATGCCGCCCAAAGTCCCCGGCCGGAAGTCCCCAGAGTTGGGGGCTTCAGTAGAAGCTGCTGGGAGTCCCAGCAGCTTCTACTGAAGCCTTCCGAGTAAATCGCCAGAACGCCGACACCTCTTCGTCTCCACCGCTCCATGTTTTATTTTGTGTTGCCATAAGTTAGTCTCTCTGCGTTTCTGCGCTGGGCTAATGCTAATAATGCTAATGCGAGGATAATAAAATGGCGGCTTCACAAACTTTTTGGGAGTTTTACGGGCCGTGGTTTGCAATCCGCCCAGCCAATAGGAACCTTTTCTCCCACGAAAGTCCCTGCTCTCTAGCAGGGATGGAAAAGGGGGTGAAAAGGTTCTCATGAACTAATTTTAGTTCCGGCTTTTTTTGGTGTGAACGCAACATTTCGGAACTATATCGGAACTAAAGTGGGAAAAGTACTGCGGTGTGAACGTGCCTAAGGTCTGTGGCGGATCTTCACCCTAATTCACTAACAGCTACAGTCATCGTGTTTTTAGATCAAGTGTTCAAGTGTTAAAATTAGGGCTGTCGCGTTAACGCAAAAATTAACGCCACTAATTATTTTAACGCGATTAACGCATGTGTATTTTTTGTCCTCGGCCGCCCCGTAGCTTTAGAGCGCATCGAGTTTAAAATACCATCTACAAGCTGATGCTGACAGCCCCGCTCCTGCTGCCCGCTTGCAGCAGACCATACTTCCACGCTCACGCGGCAGGCAACCGACTGGCTATTGGAGGACCGGGAGGGTGTGTGTATGTGTGGCCCGAGCGAGCGAGAGAGAGAACCTTACGTGTATTGTTGTTGTTAGCATCTGGTGCTAGCTAGCTGCGCTAACGGATATAAGGAGCTGTTTAAATGAAAACAGAGGAGCGACATTTCGCCACAAACTTGTGCCGAGAGCACTTGACTTTATGCAGAAAGCCAGACAGTGGGACATTGTACGAAAAGTCAGCACACTCAGCACGGGTAGTGTGCGCAACATGATTGCAGTGTCCAGGCACACACACACACACACACAACACACACACACACACACACACACACACACACACACACAACACACACACCACACACACACACACACACACGACACACAACCACACACACATCCACACAACACACACACACACACACACACACACACACACACACACACACACACACACACACACACATTCACATCACACACACACACACACACACACACACACACTAACACACACCACACACACACACCACACAACAAACACCACACACACACACCACACCCACACACACACACCACACACACACACACCCACACACACACACACAACACACACCACACACACCACACACACACACACACACCACACACACACACACACACCACACACACACACACACACACACACACACACACACCACACACACACACACACACACACATATTATTGTATTATAGAGTTCCATTGAATTGAGGCGAATATTTTAATGTTCAGAGGTTGTTGTTTTAATATTCATGAGAATATTTGTCATTGTTCAAATGATAATAAACATTTGCATAAAGCATATTTGTCCACTCATATGTTGATAAGAATATTAAAAACTTGAAAAATATTCCTCTAAGGTGTATTTAGAACAGATAAAAATGCGCGATTCATTTGCGATTAACTATGGACAATCATGCGATTAATCGCGATTACATATTTTAATCGACTGACAGCCCTAGTTAAAATAAAACACTAGATATACTTCTGTCCAGGTTTACATAGATGCTATTATTCATAAATCCCAGTTTTTGTGCTGGTTGACACAGAGCATTTTAGAAAATGGACGAGGAGCCCTACCTGAATAGTGAGGATGGCATCTTTGAGAGTGGGCATCCGCTCCTCCAGTTCTTTGCTGTTCATGACCAGCTTCAGTCCTTTTAACAGACTATTTTCTGTCAGATTATGACTGATGCCAACACTGCTGCCAAAGCTGGGGCTGGTGCTCCTCTTTCTCTTTTTGTCTTTTCCATGCCTCCTTTCAGCACTGCTGCTTCGTGACTTGGACCTCCTGACCCGGCTCTTGCTCCGCACATGACTCGTCTTGCTTCGACTGTGGCTCCGACTCCTGTTGCGGACCCTGCTTTTGCTTCTCGCCCTGCTTTTGCTTCTTGCCCTGCTCTTGCTACTTGGCCGACTCTTGCCCCGAGCACGACTTTTGCTCCGTCCGCTTCGGTCTAGCGATCGGCTTTTGCTTCTTGCACGGCTCTTGGCTCGAGATTTTCCGCGGGTTCGACTGCGGCTTCTGCTCCTGGATGTATTCTTCTGGAACTCAGGATTTGATTTCATTGCTTCTTTCAGGACACTTGCCGACTTAAAAGCTTCAGCCAGGTTGTATGCCATGTTCCCTTTGAGATAGTCTGGCAAAGGCTTGTTTTGTTGCGATGCATCTCAGGAATTCCTCACCAGCTTGGTCACTGAAAAGCAGCATGCATTTGTTTCAAATGAGAGAGAACACTCAACATAAGCATTAGTTCAACTGTTCCTGCTTAGAATTACACAACATAGAAAGATGTACCTGCTGTCTGGAGGATGTTCAACCGGAGTTGTATTCCACTTTGGGATGGGAATATGCAGTGGTTGTGGAGAAGGGACGATCTGCTGGCTGCCTCCCACAGCAATCACTGTACTACGGTCCTATGGAGAAGCTGCTACAGTGGGGCTGAGAGTATTCAGAATTCATGTTATAGTGCTGTACAATACATAACTGTATTAGCATACTTGAGAAAAAACGTATTGAAAGGGGCGCCGTTGTATATGCTTAATATGTTTTTAAATGTTTGAGTAAAAAGTGTACACTAAACATTTTTAGAAACTTGGGTAACCGTTTTAAAAGGTCTATGGTTACAACAGATTGCACAGTACGTTTTCAATTTCCAAGGAAAATGTGCTTGATCTTTCCGCAAATAAAATGCTGGACAGGCCTAAAATCAGCTGTGTGACATAAAAGGAATAGGCCTATTCATATCATCATCATATCATTATCAGCAACAATTGGGTTCATGTATAGAAGAAACAGTCTGGACATAAGGGTCAATGCTGGCATACATAATGAGTAATGCTGTAAAGTTGGTTTCTTTCTAGAACAAACAAACTTCAAACATTTAGTACCAAATTGTTGCAGGAAAGTAGTTTACTTTTCATTTTCTGAATGTTGAAAAAGTGTTATGTGATCTGGTTTTTGTTTAATAATACAAAACATTGAATTAAGCTGAATGTGAGGATATTTTTAGGGGACATTTATTTTTAAATATCCATTATTTGGAAATAATTTAATTTTTAGAGAGCCCAAATTATTATTTGACTTCTGACTAAAACTTTAACCGTATTGACTGTCAAAAAGGAGATACAATATATGTAAACAATGTGCACAGGGAAAACAGAAAGCGATAAAACAATTACTAAAGAAATGGACCAATGACGTAGTCCCGCACCAAGTTAAAACCTAGGAGCTAGCATTGTTGCCAATGTAGGCACATAATAAAGCATTAGCACTTATATGCTATGCTACTACTGAAGGTATAATTAATGTATGTACATGCTCCTTTGTTTTTTAATGATGGTAAAAGTGAAGTGCTAACCGGCCCTATACAGAAACAATCAGTTTCCTTAATTTCATCAGTCATTTCAAATGTCTTTTTAATCCGTTTTTGCAGCTGAATCAGTTTGACATTTCTCTATTTATTCCATCTATTTTGTATACATTTTGTTGAATAAGAGATTATTTTCAGTTTCATTGTATACTGTACTATATAGCTATTAACATTTGGGAAGGTGGTTTTCAGTGTTCCTACAGCATTTGACATGTTGCTTATTTATGATTAAGAAAATTCTCTAGTGGCAAAACTTCATCAGTCCACTGCAAGAGACATAAAAAGTGGTATCGATGACAATGACTCCAAATCCTGTAGTAATCAGCAGTGAATATTCGGCGCGAGAGTATTTTGGTTTATTCAAGGCATTCATTTTGTTATTGTACAGTATTGTTGTTTTATGGTTATTTGTTAATGTAACTAACCCAATTTGTGTTCTTTGAAATTGAAAAGGATATTGCATTGTGTTTGTTACTTTCGTTGCAGTCTCAGGCTCGAAATGACATTCCCAGAACAAATGACTATATCTTCACTTCTAAAAAGGGGTAAATTAATAATCTTTTTTCTCAAAGCAATGATAAACCTGTGAGTTGGATGTAAGAAAAGTCAGAATCAATATAGATTTGTTTATTTTAAAGTAAATTCAGATTGAACATAGTAGAAAAATGTAAATTATAGTGTCCCCGTCCAAAAAAAAAAACAGTAGAGTAGACTAAAGCTTTAGGAATCCAAACTATAACATATAATAAGTACCCTGTATCAAGATTAATGCAAAAAAAAGTGAAATGTGACCTTTTAGAGAGGTTTAGGAGAAAGAAACCCACCTCTGGGGTCATTTGGGTGTATTGGTCGATGTTGGTGACACCTCCTTTTAACTGTTAGAGCCAATAGAATCAAGGGGGAGATCCTAAATCCACCTACACGTTACCATTGAGAGAGTGAGAGTGATGCGCACACAGCTTGCCCAAACCGAAAAGCTATGTTACGCTATGAAAGCTGAAAACTAGGCTTATTGATCTGATCATAAATATGCTGATGGATTATAAGTAATCATTTCAAAGTGACAGAGACATTGGATTAACCTTCAGCAGCGTCTTCCGCATTTTAATGCCATAGAACACAACTTTTGATCAGAAGACAGCAAAGGTAAGAGGTATTTGCCGTTTTGGCTACGTAAAGCTACGTTGTGTGTTGTCTGGTTTTGCCTTCGCTGCCCCTGAGTTCAGGTCGCACAGTGATGATACCCTATACCGATGCCGACGTAACAACATACTGATACCGGTTAGTAAAAACCATGAATAATGCTTTGACAAGTCTGCAGACAGACGGCAGGCGAAAACCTTTTAAAATGCATGTTTTCTGAATGGAGATTGGCTAAGCTAACGGTGTATATGCTCCGAACCGTCCACACCTCACAACAAACAGCCTACAGACATAAATAAACCAGCGACTGTATTCGCCATGACACAGGCAGTCTGTGGTTTGTACTTTAAAAAGGGGACCTATCATGCAAAATGCACCTTTGTACGTCTTTATACATTAATATGTGTCCCCGGTGTGTCAGGGAACTCACCAAGTGTCAGGAACATACAACCCTCTCTCTTTTCCTCCATACCCAAAATCTCTAAAAACGGGGCTTTAACGGATCTGATACAGACCGATACAGATTTGAAAATAGTCTGACGTCAGTGACGAGGAGCTCCGCCTATATGGCCAACTCTCCAACCTATCAGGGGAATGAGAGGTTGCCGTGGCATGGTAACAGCATGATAACATGACCTCGTAACTCGGCCCCCTCCTTTGCAGGGGGGCATGGTCAGCTGCAGTGCATGCAAAGACAGGGGTGGAGGAGAGCAAAATAGAGCGAAATGAGGCATGGCTAAAATGCATGATCTTTTTGGTATTTGAAAAAAGAAACGTATAAATATACCTTATATAGGTATGGCCCTACAATATATTATTAAAATATAGCATGATAGGTCTCCTTTAACTTTGTCTAGTTTCTGAACAGATATGAGGAGCTGTGAGCTCTGAGTGCTAAACAGCTAATGGCTGATGTTGTTCTGTGGTGTTGCATTGAAGATGACGTCACGGCTCCGCCGACACTGCGTTATTATAATTCCTGCCCCAGTTCCTAAACTGTAATGGGAACGCAGCATAAGTGAGCCTGGCCTAACAAGGACTAGCCATACCGTACTAAGCCGAGCGAGGCCCTGCAGTGGAAAAAGCGCCATTAGTGAGCCGAGCCAAATGATCCGGCTCACTAAAAAGAGCCGTAATTCCCATCACTAACATAAAGAGATATTATCTATAAGGGACGGCTCAATTCAAAATTCAAGTCACGTGATACAACAGTATTAAACACAGAAGGAACATTTTCATGCAAGTTTCAAATTGAAATCTGCCACAAATATGCAGGTAATAATGAGTTGTTTCAATAGTGCTCACCTACGAAGGGGAGAGTGGAAAACATATGAAGCTTTTTAAGCGAAGGTTAGAGAGCACACTAGCTCTGGGACCCTTTTTCTATATCTTTAATATGTTTTTATCAATTTCAATGATGTACTGTGAACAAAATGCCATAGGGAATAAGGAAAAAAAAATCACAGAGAAGCTATTTTGATTCACTATCAGTAAAATGTTCTATGTGAGTGGTTAGCATATGTGCAAGCATGTCCTTATGTAAAACGCTTTTGGAACTGCACATTTTACAAAGATGTGTACATTTAAAAAGAAAGCTAAATTTCTCTGCTTTCTGTTGCTCCCAGGCCTTTGGAGTCATGGTACTAGTATGGTTAAAAAATGATAGGAAAAACACTTTTCAACAGGCTTTTGTAAAACATTTATATTTTAATCAAACCACTATTTCTCATTATTCTTTTTATTTTGTCTTAGGGAAAAAGGGAATCAGTTTCTTTTGCTGTTAGACCAGGGATGGGCAACTTGGATGGTGGTGGGGGCCACATAATGTATGTGCTGGCCACCAGGGGGCCGCAGATTCACTTGGAACACACACACAAAATGACATGTATTGTATGTAATTGTAGTTGTCTAACTTGAACCTAGCTAAGACACTCTGCTGTTCCTCAGCACCGCTCCCCCCTCCCTCCCGCTGAAATTATGAATTAAAACACGTCAGGGTCTGTGACAGTTTGTTTTCATCTGATTTCAAATAAACAAAGTCTTGGTTTTTAGAATATTAAACTTGTTTCGCCAAATTCAGATGATAAATACAACTTTTAAGCTTGTGACAGCATAATTACAAGCGGCAACTTAACGTCACAGCAGGCATAACAACAGCCGGTGTTTCTTGTGAGTGTTTCCCCGGGAAACAACAATACACACAAACACGTCACAGATTATTCGCGGTATTTGGCTGCCGAACTAAAATCATGTACGCAGCTCGCGACGTAACTAGGAGTCTAGTGGACGGTATCAGTACTACAAATAAAAAAATATTTTTTATTTTATTTTTTTACTAATTACGTTGTTTATAAATTAATCTGAGGGGCCACAAAAAGAGGAGCCACCCATTTGCCCATCCCTGTGTTTTGACCGTTTTAACAAGGCAAGATTAAGGCAAATAATTGTTTGTATATGAAAAAACATAATGATTATGATTCACTTTGTGGTCGTAAATAAACAGTTCTATCAAAAAGAAACAATAAACAAAAATTGGTTGTGTGAGTTTTTCTGTGGACCGGCAAGACTCCTTCTCCAGCTGTAGATGAATGCTGCAAAACCTTTGTGCAAGGTCCAATGGCTCTTCCAATCCTTGATTCCTTTGTATTTTTGTACTGCACAAAATGGGAAGCAATATACAAAGATTTACAGATTAATGAACAAATATTAGAATCAGGAAAAATGTATTACAATACCGTATGTCCTACTACATAAATAACAATTAAAGGTCACCTATTATGCAAAAATCCACATTTTCATGTCTTTTATACATAAACATGTGTTAAGAGATTCTGAAAGTTTCAGGAATAAACATTCTCTCTCTCTTTGTTGTCCTGATTCATATAAAAACCTGTCTGAAAATAAGCTGATCAGATTTTGGCCACTTTATGATGTCATAACGATGTTTTGTCTTGTGTAACCATTAGCCAATAACTAACCAAGATAACCCCCCCCCCCACCTGATCACCTGAATCTCCTCCTCGAGCACCATTGGGTTATTTTTAACCAAATATCTCTCAGAGGGGCGTGGGGAGTGGCTCCTTATTTCCATCTAAAGCAGGGGTAGCCAACACGGTGCCCGCGGGGGAGGGAGCGAGAGAGAGAGAGCGAGCGAGCTAGGGAGAGCACACCTTTATCTATTTAATATAGATAAAGTAAGAAATCATTCCAATGTGTATAGGACAGTAAAAAAAACAAAAAACATTTTAAAAGGGGAGTGATTAGTAAAATATGCATAAATAAAAGAAAGAATGCTAACTAGGGGTAACATAAGATAAGAATAAACAAGTTTAAATGATTTGTTATTGGTTGTGATCATATTCTAAAGATATTTGGATTATTGAAAAGTATACAGCTCCCTTTCATATGAGTGTTGAGAGCTGTATCATACATTCATTTTGTGCTCAAAGTGCACCAGATTGATGCATTTCACTTCAACATTTAAAACACATCTTCCCGGGGGTGCATGCCCCCGGACCCACCTAGAGGAGGTGAGGACCCCCCCTAGAGGATGTGAGGTCCCCCCTGGAGGATGTGAGGCCCCCCCTAGAGGATGTGAGGCCCCCCCTAGAGGATGTGAGGCCCCCCCCCTAGAGGATGTGAGGTCCCCCCTGGAGCATGTGAGGCCCCCCCTGGAGGATGTGAGGCCCCTCCTAGAGGATGTGAGCCAACCCCCCAAATAAGCAGGTTAAAATAATTAAATTGCATACATTTTCTTTTAGTAAACACTGGAAACGGGTCCCACAGACCAAAACCAGCACACAAAGGTTAAAGGTAAGCATATAATAATGTTAAAATGTGCTAAATATATACACTGCAAAAAACAAAAAAAAGAGGAGTAGGGGCTAAAACAGAGGGGATTATGGATGCTGCAATGCATGATCTGTTTGGTATTTCAAGCCAAACACTTCAGAGACATGTTTTGTATATACATGTATGTTTTATAATATATTGATGAAAAACAGTATAATAGGGGATCTTTAAAGAAAACTTAATTTTATTATAGTTATACTATTAAGGTTATTAATTATTCGTTAAGGAAGGTTGCATGTAAGCTTAAGAAACAAATTAAAGAGGCATAATAAGTATAATGTGACGCAAAAAAGCCACGGCTGGCAAACCTAGTCCTTTTTTATTCAACAGTTAACAAAAACATCTGCTTACACAGACTTACCCATTGTGAATCAGGTACGTTTGTATTGCCACTGTAGCCAAGGGAAGTGGTTGATCCAAAATGTGTTGAAAGAAAGTTCTTCATGCACTGAAATGACGACAAATACCTCATTCACACCAACGCAACTCCGGATTCAAGCTCCGTGTTAGAGCTTTTC